CAACCGTTTTAGGGCCTGTAGGGCCTGAATTCGGTTGTCAGGCTGAAATGTCTCCGGGGCCTGTAAGCCCTAAGTTTTAGGCTTTTAGGCTGACTGTCTGGGACGGGCCCTGTAGGGCCCGTGTGGCTACGCAGTATGCCACACCTCCTCTTCGTCTGTGCATGATCTGGACCTGGTGCACTCTTCCTGTGTGTAGCGCCAGGCCTCCTTCACACCTTGTGATGAAGATGATGTATGTTTAGTCTCCATTGCAACATTGATTGGGCTACTCATTGGCATTCTAGCATTCTGCTGCGCTGTCTTGCACTACGTGAGAGAGGTCAGTCCCGGTCAGGTCAGGACTTGTACCAAGTCTTCCACTGCGCTGTAAAGCACCATTTTTGTACGTATCAGGATGTACAGTGCTTGTTGAGATTTCACTAGCACTGCATTGTCCATTCAGTCCTTTTCATCACATTGCGGATCCTCGGTTATACATGCACATCGCCCAACTGGGCATGTAACAGTTGGTATCGGAACACCGCACGTGAATCAGGACAACCTGATCTGACACGTGTGCGGGGACTAAGTAGCTGATTTGTCTTGATTGATTGATTAGAGCACACTAGTTAACCCCCAAAATCACGATTTGGACCTCACTGCCGAAAATCATTTTTATTTTTTTTTCTTGGATTTTGTTTTCTTGCTATTTCTGTTGTGGAAATTCGCAATAGCGCAACACCTGAAATTTCCATTTTCGCTTTTTTTCTGAAAATTCAAAATTTCGTTGTTAGAAATCTGGAATATCTCTGATCAGGCTCGGAAAGCTGAGAAGACTTGGTTTGAACTCATCAGAAAGGTGACCCTATGCCTCATATGGAAGGAGAGATGCAGTCGAACAATTGAAGGACTCTCCAACCCAAGGGAAAAAGTGTGGATAGAAACTAAGACAATGATTCAAGCCGAGATCCTGTGCAGATGGCGGAAGATCAAGCGAGCCTGGTACGAGGACGAAGAGCAGCGTAACAAGGAAAGGCAGAGATTCTATAGGACCTGGCTGGTGGAGGGCAAGATTGGAGAGCTGCGACAGGACCTGGTATGCTGGAAAGAATGGCATAATTCAAGTCCTGGAAGGGGTGCCCAACGTCAGACGTCGCCAGAAGGCTAAAGTTCCCTTAGGCTACAAGAGATCCTACATGTCCCAGGGGATACAGACGAAGAGGAAAAGAGCTCAAGCCTGGCAACACCGGAACGTCTTCAGGGATACTAAGGAGGATCCCATTTCAGAGATCCGAAAGCCTACTAACATTTGCCAAGACCTAATTGGGTTGATTTTGATCCAATTGATAAAGATCCAAGGGGCACAGACAAAGAAGGGAAGTGTGAGAAGGGAGGAAAAGTCGGAGAAAGAATAGAATAGGCACATGAATGGGGGTTGCTGAGGAGGTTCGGTAACAGTGGTCGGGAAATAAACGGAATTCGGCCAGCGCCCAAGGTCGACATTTCAGAAGATAGGAGTACTGGTGGAGGGTTTAGGGTTTAAGGAGGTCTGATCTTTCACACCAAGGAACAGGGAGGAGGGCGATGAATGGAACAGGTCGGCATGGAAAGGATGAACTCTTCCTAGGGGCAAAGATGCTATCTGGCAGATCTGGACATCAGGTCTGATAGGGAAGAAAGGGGCAGGGCAAGCTGACAGTCAATCCTCCACTACGGTGGAGTAATCAATGCTGTTCAGGGGTCCTTCGGCCAGACGGAAGGAAGCGTGTGTGAGTTCTCATTGATGTAACATGTATTTTGACTTGCCGGTGGAATAGGAACCAGACTGATGCTCCCCAGAATAGAAGGAGCTAGGACCATAAGGCCTTGTTTTGTTAAAAAAAAATAAAAATAAAAAAAAATCTGGAATATCTTTTTTTTCAAAAATTTCGATTTCCGTTTGCAATTTCCCATTATTTTGAATTTCCGAAATTCGTTTAAAAAAAAACAAAAAAAAACGGTACAGGAAATCCCTCTTGCAGGTATCATTCTCCAAACTGCGCGTACTCTCATTTGAGTAATTCCGAATATATTTTTTGTACTATTTTTTCGGAATTCTTTTATTGGATAATCATTTGCGGTCTAAAAGTTCAAAAATTTTTCTCATTGGTAATTTCGCACTTCAGGGGAAATTGGGAGGCCTACTGAACTTGCAAACGAGTTGTTTTTTTTTTTTCTCTCGAATTTTTTTGCGAAGTTCAAACTTTTCTTTTTTGATTAGTGGCTCCTTATCTGGTCGATTTATCCCACCCCTCCCCACCTATGATGTTGCCCCCAGCAGCAGGTCACGTCAGTGCATGGTGCTCACCCGCTCAAAGACACACGGCATGGATCAGCAGCCAGTTGAGACTACCGAGGCCTATGAGACCCGCATGCTGGACATGGTAGTAGAGTTCAAGCGACGGGCAGCTGCGGCAACATCCGCACGTAAGAAAGAAGATGAGGAAGCAGAGGAACAGCGTCGCCTCTCTGAACAACAGCGACAGGAGGACGCTGAGGCAGCAAGAAAGGCCACAGACGAACGCTGTCGACTACGCCGAGACAAAATCCTCGAATGCGAGGGGGACATCGAGGTGATCGCCGGCGAATGGGCAGTGGATGCTGAAGAGGAGGGTGCCCCCCCTGCTGTGCGTGGCCTTGCAACCACAATCGAACATGTGAGCGACTTGGTCGCCACCTGTGCAGCACAGCAAGAGGACATCCTCTGCGTGGATACCGTCGTTTGGAAACAGGCTCGACTTATCGACGAACTGCTTGACCGGGTACGTCGGCTGGAAAGCAGCCTACAACAGCCACCTCCGCCGGACCCTCCAACTTGACGGACCGCGTCAACGTCTTGGAAATCGACGTCGAGACTCTCAAGGACGGCGCTCTAGCGACAAACCAGCGGATTGACCAGCAGATTTGTGCCGCCACAGCCAGTCCGACCGCGACTACTCGCGAGAGCATCCCAAAGTTTGACGGTCTGCCGATCTTCTGCGATGCAGCGAAGACGGACTCGATTCCATGGTGGCGCCAGTTCGAGTTGAAGTTACATTCACCACGTCAGCAACCCGAACCGGCACGCATACTTATACTCCCGCTCGGGGGGCGCGTGCCAGGCATGGCTGGACAACATGTTGTCCACGCACAACGTTGCAGTCTTCGAGTTGCATACGAAGATCAACTGGGCTGATCTCAAGGTAGCATGGTATAAGCGGTTCCAAGTGGAGCCGCCCGAGCTTCAGGCAGCCGAGAAACTTCAACGGTTCTAACAGAACGACTTGCCAAGCACGGACTGGATAACCGAGTACCAACACTTGGCATCCACGCCCAACTTGCGTCGACATTTGTCGCTATCAAGCACTTCTTCATCAGGAGTTGTCCGGCGTTGCAGAACGCCTTGCCGCAAGTTGCGGAGACGCTCACCACAAGTGAGCAGCTTTTCTATAAAGCCTCGCAGATCATCGTGACGAACACCAAAACCAAGAATTTGGGCCGTTCATCCGCTGCAAGCCAGGGCAGAGATCATCATCGACCGAAAGTGGCCGTGGTCGCAACAACTACAGCAATCGACCCTTCAAACGAGGCTGCCTCTTCTGATGAAGGAGACAGATTGGCAGCTGCCCGGGATGGTGGCCGCCCCGCCAGAGGGCGAGGACGCGGCAAACCGAAGATGCACCAATTCATCCCCCGGGGATGGACCAGCGGCTCAAGAGCCTTGGACACATTACAGTATCGGAAGGCGTGTACCGCATTCGTACTAAGTACTGCTACTGCTTGTGGTGCAACAACGCGGTGCACGACAGAGCAACGTGCCCCACGCAAGTCAAAAGGCAAATTCACTTCGGGAAAGTGAGCACCGCCGAGAGTGATGTGGCTGCACTCTCGATGCCTTCGGAACTGTTTGCTTCGCAAGCGACCTCTCTTCATTCTGAGGCACATGCGGAAGTCAACAGTCCTCTCTTATATTCTTATGAGGACTATGTTGCCCGGCTCGTTCCTTCGTTGGGTTCTCAAGCTCAAGAACAAGATGTGTGTGCGGCTTCTTCTCCGTCCGACAACAACGACAATGAATCGTTTTTCAAGTGCTTCTTCAAGGGATTCAACGCACGAGTTCAACATAGAGGCATTGGACCCATTGATGTCCAAGGATGTTGCATGGCTTCCTCTCCCTTCCACAATCTGCTTGCTGGGACCACAGTGCGCAACACTATGCGCCCATCTCCACACATACTTAGCCTTCTATGCACCACCACCTTCGCCGACGGATGACGAAACTGCGGTGGGGGACATCCTTGCGTATGTTACCAAGGTGGCCCAAGAGTTTCGCATGCAGCGGTACGATGATAACAATGCACCGCTCCTTAATGTCCGCATCCAAGTTGGGTAAGCGTCCTGCAGCGCTTTGCTGGATAGCGGCGCGACTCGTAATTTCATCAGCCAATCCTTTATCCAAAGGGCCGGCCTTGGCGCACAAGTTCGAAGGAAGCCAAACCCGAGGGCGATCCAGTTGGCGGACGAACGGATGCAATAACTCCTCGATCGCTACATTGAAGTTGTGCCGGTTTATTTCGCACCTCATGCATGCGAACCGGTGACGTTTGACGTCTTAGACATAGACTTCAACATTGTTTTGGGGATGCCTTGGCTTGCAAGTGCGGATCACACCTCAGCGGACTCTAACCAATCGCGACGCCGTCGACGCCGAGGTGTCGTGTACCATTCCTCTTTCACACCCCTCGATCCGGTGCCAAGTTGTAATTTAAGTCTTTTCGGGCCACTTGTGCTTACGAACGGACTGGCAAGACAGGCCTATGTTTTCTACGAGCCGCTGCGACAACCGAATCTTCACCTACGGACTTGTCTTCGGACCCCCGAGTGGTGCGGCTGCTCGACGAGTTCACCGACATCTTCGAGTTTCGTACCGGTGTGGTGCCGGATTGACCGATCTCCCATGAGATCATTCTTGAGGCCGCATCTATTGCATGAGCAAGGAACAGCTCGCGGTTCTCCGCGCGCAACTCGATGATATGTTGGACAAGGGTTGGATCTGCCCTAGTAGCTCACCATACTGTGCGCCAGTGCTCTTCGTACGGAAGAAGAACGAGGATCTTCGCTTGTGCATCAACTACCGCAAGCTCAACGCGCAAACCGTCAGGAATGTGGGGCCTCTTCCTCGTATTGACGATCTCCTTGAGCGATTGGGTGGCGCGAAGTACTTTTTTAAGTTGGATTTGAAATCGGGATATCATCAGATTTCGATCCGGCCGAACGATTGTTATAAATCCGGGTTCAAGACGCGGTATGGGCATTTTGAGTGGGTGGTCATGCCTTTTGGCCTCACCAACGCCCCGACAACCTTGCAAGCGGCAATGACCAACGAGTTCCGTGCGATGTTGGACCGATTCGTGCTGGTCTACTTAGACGACATTCTCGTTTATAGCCGGACATTGGAGGATCATCTTGAGCACCTTCGACGAGTGTTGGAGACGCTCCGCCGTGCCGACTACAAAGCCAACCGCGGCAAGTGCGAATTTGTCTGGCAAGAGCTGGAATACTTGGGCCATTTTGTCACACCGGAGGGCATCAGTCCGTTGTCGGACAAGATTTAAGCCATCCAAGAGTGGCCGGAGCCGCGGAACGTCATAGATGTTCGTTCGTTCCTTGGCCTTGCCGGCTACTGCCAACGTTTTATCAAGGGATACTCGAAGATCGTGGCCCACTTGACCAAGCTTCAATGCGAGGATCGGCCGTTTGACTTCGGAGAGGATGCTCGGGAATCATTTTTGGCTCTCAAAGCCGCACTATTATCTCCGGAGGTCTTGCGCATATACCACCCGCTATTGCCAACGCGCGTTACTACGGATGCGTTCGGCTATGGCATTGGTGTCGTCCTCGAACAACGTGATGGCGTGGGCTGGCGGTCGAGTACTTCAGCAAGAAGTGCCCGTCGTGCACTCCATTGATGATGCACGCAAGAAGGAGCTCCTAGCCTTCGTCCACGCGCTCAAGCGGTGGCGACACTTCCTCCTTGGTTGAAGTCAATTCCGATGGGTAACGGACAACATTCTGTTGGTCTTCTACAAGACCCCAGACAACGTCAATAGCACCATCGCCCGTTGGATGACTTTCATCGACCAATTCGACTTCTTTCTCGATCACATTCCGGGGAAGTCTAACCGTTTTGCGGATGCTCTTTCACGGCGTCCGGACCATTGTACCGCAGTCTATTTGACCTTTGAGATCGGCGACGACCTGCGGGACAGCTTCATCCGCGGCTACCAAGCCGACCCCGAGTTTCGCGACAAGTACGCGAATTGCTCCTCTCCTAATCTGGCGCCTTCTCACTACTGGATCCAAGAGGGGTACTTGCTTGTCTACACGCGGGGGAAGGACCTTCTTTGCGTACCGAGTGACTCTCACTTGCGTACACGGCTTCTTGGCGAGTTGCACGATGCTCCCGCCACCGGACATTGTGGAGTCAATCACACGATTGGCCGACTTCGCGAGCGATTTTGGCGGCCCGGCCTTCTCGACGACGTTACACGCTATTGCGAGTCATGCGAGGTTTGCCGACGCTACAGATCCCGTAACCATCGGCCGTACGGCGAGTTGCGACCATTACCGGTCCCCTTGGTCCGAAGGGAAGCGATTGCCATGGACATTACCGGGTCGTTCCCCATGCACAAGACCGGTGTGGATGGGATTCTCACGGTGGTCGACCGACTCACCAAGTTTGCCATGTTTTTGCCTTGCCGCTATCATGCCAAGGCACCGGAGTTGGCTGAGGTTCTTTACGCCGGTTGGATTTGAACCAAGGGTTACCCCAAGGAAATTGTCTGTGACCGCGACACTCGGTTCATGTCCGATTTTTGGTTGGAGCTCATCAAACGATGGGGCTCATCTCTCAAGCGAAGTTCGGCCCGCCACCCCCAAACCGATGGGGCTCATCTCTCAAGCCAAGTTCGGCTCGCCACCCCCAAACCGATGGCCAAATGGAGAGGGCGCATCAGACCACACAGGTTCTCCTTCGCACTCTCATCCGTCCCGACTAAAAGGATTGGGTTGAGCGGCTGCCGGATGTCGAGTTGGCATACAACTCGTCCATCCACCTGGCTATCGGGATGTCGCACTTCGAGTTCAAGCACAGCTCACCGGTCACTTCTCCGTTGGACACAATCATTCCATGGACGGCCGAGAGCGACGACCATCCTCTTTTCTTGCATCGGATGCAAGAGCTACTTGTCAAGGCACGCGACCAGATGGTTAAGACACAGCAACGCATGAGCCAACAGGCCAATTGCCAGCGTCTTCCTTGCCCATTCCGTGCCGGCGATCTCGTTTGGGTTTCCGCCGCGGAATTCAGCCTTGAACAAGATATCTCTTGCAAGCTCCTTCCGAAATGGATGGGGCCCTGGACGATCGTGGCACCCGTTGGGGATGCACCCGAAGGACCTTCCTTCACCATTCAGGTGCCCGCCCACTTGCCCGTCTACCCGGTCTTTCATTGCTCCAAGTTGTCTCTTTACACACCCGCGGAACATGACGATTTTCCCGGGCGACGATCGCAAGACCCACCATCTATGGACGGTTTTCAAGAGGTCGGCGACATCATCTCCCAGCGACGCTACGGCAATAGGCCAACCGAGCACTTGGTACACTTTGCGTACTGCACTCACAAAGCTGACCGTTGGTTGACCCGTGCATTGCTCCAAGTTGGCTCTTTACACGCCAGCGGACCGTGACGATTTTCCCGGGCAATGATCGCTACACCCACCATCTATGGACGGTTTTCAAGAGGTCGGCGACATCGTCTCCCAGCGATGCTATTGCAACAGGCCAACCGAGTACTTGGTACACTTTGCGTACTGCACTCACAAAGCTGACCGTTGGTTGACTCGTGCGGGAATCCAAGCAACAGCTCCAGATGCTCTCGCACACTACGAACGCAAGATGCAAGGCAAGCCAGTATCTTCGGCTCCACGTCGCACCCACGTCCAGGTTCCACCTTCAGATCGTCAGATTCGCCCTCGACCCGGCTCGACTTCATAAGGAGGTGGGGGTGTTACATGCTGCGCCTGCAACAGGCTGCACGGGCCATTTTCAGGCCCGTGTCGTTTTCAGCTCGAAAGCATCTGTCGTTTTCAGCCTGAAAACAAGGGCCTACAGGCCCCGCGTCGTTTCAGCCTGAAAGCCTGAAAACAAGGGCCTACAGGCCCTGTGTCGTTTCAGACTAAATCAGGGCCTTTCCGGCTCTGAGTCTTTTCAGCCTGAAACTGAGGGCCATTTTCAGGCCCTCATAAGATCGACCTGCCCTGAAACTCAGGCACCAAACCAGTGTTTTAGCACAGGCCATTTTGAGCCTGTTTTCAAGACGACCCTTGGTTGAGCTTCAACTCCACGGTCTGGCACGTTTTGGTATTGGCAAGAGCAGCCTCCTGGACGGGCCAGCACTATATAGGAATGGCCCATCCTGCAGGCTGCACGTAGTTCCTAGGTACTTCCCAGGCACTTCACGTGCAGTTCAGGAGGCAGGAGGTAGTCTTCAGGGTTCGGTAGCAGCACTCTGGAGGAGTGCTGCAGGAGTAGTGGTAGTGCTAGCAGTAGTCTTCAGCGCTGGGCGCTAGTAGGAGCTAGAGTAGTACTGGAAAGAGAGAGAGATTGGGCGGAGGCCAGGGAGACTTACCTGCAGTGCCATAGCTCCAGCTTCGTCTTCGAGGTACCTGCAGCATAGCGCCAACTTCACAGGTTAGTACCTGG